CAATGGTTGTCTAACTGATCTCAGTCTTTGATCGAACTTACAACAGATCGAATCCCTACAAATAAACTTATGAAAATCAACCTTATTAGACTTATACAATTGGTCACTAATGTGGTTTTTATTAGTATGTATAATGAAGTATATTTTTTTACATACTACTGATTGACCGAAATAAGTAGTCGGAGATCATCAACATCAAACCTTGTGATTTTCTATGCAGACTGAGATGATTCGAACACAGGACAGTTTATTGTAGGCCTCAGTAGAAGCTCCAAACGGGAAGAAATACCTGTATACGTGTATATTTCACCATCATTCAAAGAGGATCGTGTTCATCTCAAGGCATCACCACAGTGCTCGTATTGGAAGCCCATATATCAATAGAGAAAGATGCTGAGCCTTTCATTTGAATACAGTTAGTTAAACAATGAAACTGACAATACTTAATTCAATTTAGCCAGCGTATCAGGGGTCGAACCCAGGAACTTCAGGTTACGAACCTAAGCTTGATGAACATTCAGTCAATTGCTCTGGAATTCATTGATCACTGAATTCATGGTATAGCGTCCGTGGCCCAGCGTTTAAACCTCTCGCCAACTAAGCAAATGGTCCGGGGTTCGATCCCCTGCCCACGTACACCTGATATCAATGATCCACCTGCGAAATTTGGGCTATCAGTATCACATGCTGTAGATTCCATACTTGTGCCAAAAATAGGGGTGTGGAGTCAAGCTATAACCAAAAAACAACTAATACTTTCGAAGACCATCCACTTTGCCTTTCTTGACATGATAGACTCCACTAGTCACAACTTTTGGCGCAAGGAGATTCATCGCGCTGAAGTTTCTGTAGCAGCTTTCTTTACAGGGTGTAGTTGCTAGCCTCACGCCTTAGAAGGGGAGGGAGAAAAGGTTAGTATTGCGTGACCGCAGAGCCCATGGGACAACTGCTTGAGGCTGGTCACACGCGGCCTGTTTTTGTTTGTTCTTTCTTGTTTGGTGTGTCTCAGTAGCATATTTATCACTTCTGCCCTGCGAGACAGCAGCAGGAAGCGCGGTCGTTGTTAATCCGGGCCCCGACCGATCCGGCATGATATTTTGTGAGTTTGTTTGAATCATAGTATTGGATTGGGTAGCTGCTTTTTGTCTAACCGCTATCCAGACAACCTTTCTGGCATGGTAGGACCTACAGGAACATAAGTTCCAGCCAGTGTAGCTCGTTGGGTCATTGCGATATGCAAGCCCGACCACCACGTCAAGGTAGCAGCTATCGGTCGGTCACAACTTAATTTTATTGACTGATAATTGAAACCTGTCTTTCATTGAATCTAAATTATCATGTACACATATGATGTGATTGGATTTCTAAATTCAAAGATAGATTTCATGCTAAATGTCAACATCAATTAGAGGATCAATTAATCTCATCAACCTAATGATTGAATCAATCAATATGTACTCATGTAGCTAGTCTGAAGTTGGTGAGTTCCCTTTCTCAAGTTGATGTCATGAAACGACTAACCATTTCTTTCACAGTGGATTCATTTGAAGGATTTTACCATGAGCTGATATCAGTTAGAGAACCATTAGAAAAACAACAATAGGGGGGTACTGGACAGCTGTTCCGTCCTAATTTGGGACTCTTCAGTAGTACACACCCACCACACTGGGGTTCTAACCCAACACCTTCTGGTTACAAAGCAAGCTAGCTCGTAAACCATTAAGCCAATGCGACCCGATTCAATGGCTCATGAATTCAAGCTTCTGTAAATTCAGAATATAGCGCGACTGACATTAGTCAGTATCATCTCTAGCGAATATTTGTCCTCACGCCCGACCTGTTGTAGCCTATTGGTCACGACTTCTCATGGAATTCATAGGCTCGCCACTGGATGGGGTTCAAGTGGCTGCATGGTCTTGTTACCAAAAGCTACTATGTTCGAACTCTGGCAGTGGGTGTGTACTGATAAAGAGTTCAAAGCTAGGCTGAGGAAACAGTTGGCTGTTCAGTACTTCAGTGGTTGTTTTTTCCACTGGTCCTCTAACCGATGTCAGCTCATCATGATGAAATCTTGTAACCAATGCCGAAGGAGATGCTATTAGCAATTTTGGCTGCTGAAAAGAATCATAAGAATAGTTTAGAACCTGAATTTAAAAAAGCAGGCTACCAGAAAAGAATACTGTGTTCCAAACAACACTGGACGACCGTTTTCACTCATTTCTGATTAATAAAATCAGCTTGGAATGCAAAAGATCCCCATAAACCACTTGAATTCTTGGCTAGTTTAAATCTTTAGAAATCTGATACACTTGTCTACACTATTAATTCCTTGTATTTTTGATTACATAATAAACTGTCAAACATCAAATGGATATTATTTCACGGTTTATTTTTCTTCCTGTTTCTCTACTGTTTTTCTTCTTAAACTAATATAAAGGCTACAGTAAGTTTATCAATAAAATGCTTTATTTTTTGAATACCTCTCAACTCATAAATTATTACTATTGTTATTGATACTATTATTGTAATCATTACTAATAATCATTAATTACTATCTACTGTCCTAGCAAAGTATCTATTACAATCCTACACGAGGTAGCCAATCACAAGTCTGAATAGATTAGTGGTGGTTAAGGTCGTCTCTGACTGTTACAGTGGATGACCTGGGTTCGAATCGCACAAGTTTCACGGAATATTAAAGAAACGTGCTGGTGACGACTACCAATAAGCACAAAACCTGAGGGTGACGTAGGGCTTCTTGTTGACTGTCTCTTCACCATCTAAAATGATACAAAATAATATAAGGGAAAGATGTAATAATTTCATAATTCCCATAGTCTAACATTCAGAACGTAATATTCGCCGAACAGACTATTTTCAAGGGATCTGTTATCAAACTGTAAAATCGCGTATATGTGTGACGTTTTAAGAAACTATCTCCTGTGAAGGCATTTATATAAAACATGTGAATATTTATAATAAGTAATGGTTCGCAAAGATTTGATCGGTTACAGGTTTTGATAAAGATCTGACGTCAGCGTTGCAGAACCTTTGGATAACCAGGGAGTACTGTAAAGCTGGTTATATATTTCGTCTGAGTTTGGGACTCTTCACTGTAATCACCCAATGGTAGGTTATGAACTCGGAGTCTTCTGGTTACAAGGTGTGCTTGTAGACCATTCAACCACTAGGACCCGATTCTCAATGGCTAGGCAATGAATTTTTACTTTTGAAATGTATGTAGAGCAACCAGTAATCACTGTTCTCTCTTCCATGACTTGGTGGATCCCTGTGGTCAACATTTCCAATGGTTATCTAACAGCTTCCAATTAGTGATCAAAGCATAAAATAGCTCACAGAATTTATAAATCTTAGAAAGGAATATAAATTCCATATTAATTTTTTTATTAGATATATCACACACACACACAGTGAGTAAAACAGTATTATTCAATTATTGGATGACACAGTTTCGAACACAATCCATAATTGTTCATAATCATTTCATCAATTATAATCACACGACTTTGAAATTTGAGTTTTATAGTTTTCTTTATTCTTTCCTTTTCATCGTCGTACGGGTAGTAGAATTTCCAGATATCTGGCTGGACAGGTGTTGAATCATTCCTATTACACGTATTTGCAGTTGATTCGATAAACAAAGCTTCTGTTATCAATCTCTCCCTCCCTCCATCCTGTTACATTAGATTTTAAAACTGTCATCTCATCCCATCCTACTATATGGTTGTGTGTATGTGTGCAGTTACATGTAGTGAGTGCTATAGCCGAACTATTCTCTAGACTTCTTATCTTATTCGGGTCAACCAATCTAGATTTTGCTAGGTTTTTGTGCTCCGCTATTCTGATTGCTCCTGTTCCACTAAATTGAGCTGACAATCATTGCAGGCAGAGTATTAGATAAACTAAATTGTTTTGCTTTAAAGGCTCCACACGAGTGATACTTTAACTGACAAGGCTTGTTTCTAATTGAGTTTGAGGGTTTGAATGCCAGTCACTTTTTTTCCTGACTTGTTAAGAATTTTCCTCCGTAAGGTTTCGAGGTTCCTTTCTTGTATAGGAGTACCGCTGAGGATTTAAATTCCCCATTTCTGATGTTGTCATTTTCCTGTGCATGTCTGACATGCATGTCGTCATTATTATCATTATTATTATTGTTATCACTATCCCTACTAGGCAGGAATAAAAGCTCACAAACTCAATTAGAAAAAAACTTTGTTGGTTAAAGGATCAATCCTATGGAGCCTTTAAAGCAAAACAATTTAGTTTATCTAATACCCTGCCTGCAATGATTGTCAGGTCAAATACACAGGTCAAAGTAGTAGAACAGGTGCAGTCAGACTAGCCGAGCATAAAAACCTAACAAAATCTAGATTAGTTAACCCAAATAAGATAAGAAATCCAGAGAATAGTTCACCCATAACACACACTACATGCAATTACGCACACCCAAACGTACAATAATGTGACAGGGTGGAGGGAAAGATTGATAACAGAAGCTTTATTTATCGAATCAGCTGAAGAGAATTCGTGTAATAGGAATGATTCAACACCTTTCCACCCGGACATCTGGAAAATTCTATTACCGCAATGACGACAAATAGGAGTGTAAACATCGGTCTCCAGTAGCGATGGTGGGATTTTATCAAATTGGGGTCTCTAGCCTTACGCTCAGCCTTCTCTCTCTCTATCTACCCCACTTACTACCAGGGACGAAGAAGCAAGATTTAGGAGTGCATCGGTGACGATAAAATAATCGAACCCCAACTCACTTGCAGTGTGACTGGTCAACATGTTACCATTAAATTAGAGACACAATCAAACTACTTGTAAGGCACTACTAATTATTTCTGTTAAATGTTTCATCATATTTACTCAACTCTGTTTGTTTTCCTTTGTTTTTTTCATTCTAAAATACAACAAAAACAAAAATCTATCAACTTTTTTGAAAAAAACCCTCAACATTCAAAATTAAACCATAGAGAGAAATATTAGCTGAAGCGCGTACAATGGCCCAGCTGAAACATCGTCATATAGTAAGATTAATTGGTAAGTGGTTATCGATCGATGAAATATAATTTTGATTAATTGATTTATTTATTGATGAGCAATTAATCTGAAGATTTTTATGGATCAGATGGATGATTTTGTTGTGGTTGTGTTTTCTGTGATGAGTGGTTTAATTGTGAAGATTTTATGGTCCTTTTAGACGACATCTTCAAAGCACAGACTTCAGTAATGATTATTAAATTGCTATTGTTCCCAGGGGTTCCAAATGGAATATAGGGAGACCTTCGACAACCCATCTCCACTTCGCTCTATTTTCTGCTGTCCTCTATAGCTGGCTACCCACACGATTGCCCATAATCTCTCCATGTCACTCTCACTCTGACAACCCTCATTTTGTCGCTTCCCATTTGGATTCCACTCGAGCAATGGCCTGCACTACTCGTGATGTCATCCGACGACTTCCTCAACGCATGCCCAGACCAATCCATCTCCATTTTATCCTACATATTTGTTTAGCAATCGGCTCTTGGTTGGTTTGTTCACAGCCAACCAGAGTTTCTTCTGGTTAGTTCTTTCTGGCCAGCGAAGCGGGTAGCTGTTGACAAACGTCTGGAACAGGCTGTTGGGAGTCCTTTATGTGACAGTCTTGCCAAATTTCTGACCCGTATAGAAGAAGTGACGGACTGACTTGCGGTTTGTGTGGTAAATTCAAATCTTGTTCTTCATGCTGAGGCGGAGTGCAGTGCAGATTTCCAAACTGCTTTCACGTTGATACATACATTCTTGGTTGTTGTTTTGGCAGGCAGCGTTTGCTAATTCTTTCCGGCTTACCCACCTTACCTTCAGTTTGGTGCCAGTGAAGGCATATATTGATGAAATTCATAGTAGACTGTGTGAATCGCTTTTCGTGACACACCAGTTCTCTGACCTAAATGGAAGAACTGACTGACCTCACATTATTGCAGAAAATTAGAATCTAGTTCTTTATGCTGAAGCGGAGTGTAGAAGATTCCACACTAATTTCAGAGTGATGAAGGTCTGCCTCACTCTTCGATTGTGATTTTGACAACTGTATCCATGCTGACTGGCTATAGTTGAGATGATGCTTCCTAGCTGGATGAGTAAAGGAGGTAACCACTGTTAAATCTCTCCCGTTGATGGAGATTGGTGCTGGTTATTGTTGCTGTTGGTTGGTTGGTTGGTTAGCCGTCTCCATCACCTCCGTCTTCTCTATGTTCAACTGGAGTTGTGTCTTCACTCCTAACCTCTTCTGCCAGTTTATTGGTTTCCGCCTACAAGTTTTCCATTTTGTGTACGTGACATTAAACATAAATCATCCACACGTGAAATCCAGATCTTCTAGAGTCTTCTTATTGGTCCAACGTATTCATCTCTTCTCACTCCCTGTGCACAATCTTCCATATAATCCAGTCTATCACAATTAGGTCGAGTGCGAGGACAAATACTTGCCAACTCTGACACTGGTTATTTATATCATGAATTGGGAGAAGCTGGAATTCATTGGCTGGCAGTGGCTGAATGGTCTACGAGCTAGTTCGCCTTGTAACCAGAAGGTTCTAGCTTCAAGCCCTGACGGTGGATACGCACTGCCGATGAGTCCCAATCTAGGCTGACGAAACAGCTAGCTGTCCGGTACTCTCTAAAGATTTTCCAATGGTCCTCTAACCGATGAAAACTCATGATGAAATCCAGTCACCAGTCAAATCCCTGTAAACCAATACTTCAATACATCCAAATATCGTCAAACCTTTAGGAATCGACGTCTCATACAAACCAACAAAATCACTTCACTCAGTTATATGTCAACCAAAAGACTCAACAACGAAAGAAGATAAAACCAACATCACCTACAAAATAAATTGTAACAACTGCGAAAAACACTACATTGGCCAAAGTGATCGTCCACTTCGTCTTTGTATCCACGAAAATAAGCTAACCGTCAGAAAACATGACATCCACTCCCTCATATCACTACATACAGACAACCATGGGCATCAATTCGATTGGGATAATGTTCAAATATTAGACAGAGGAAACAACAAAAATGCTAGAGAATTTCCAGAAGCTTGGTATTCCAGTGAATCATCAATCAATAGACACATCGAGATTGAGAAAATGTATCAACCGATAAGAAAGAAACTTCACACACAAAGGGTCAAAGTTCAAGTCAAAGAAACAATGAGTGACAATACAAGTAGCCTACAAGGTGTGAAAACACACAAAAACAGCCACTCGCGTCCAAGGCCACCGGGAGAGATGATTAATAAACTCGTGGAGAAATCTAAAAGCTCACTTCAATTTGAATTGAAGTATGCGCTGAAGATGTCACCTAGTAGGGGGCAATGAAAGCTTCGCAAATTAACTATCCAGCTCAGAGAACACAACCACATCAAAATCATCCACCTGAGCTACAAATCTTCTCTATCACATCCCAATGTATTACTATGATGTCAGACAGACAGTCTGCGGTCCACTAGAAAGTTCAGTTAATTACTCAAAGAATTTATGCATTAGTGCAATGTCACAGTCTAGCTGTTTTTTATTCATTCCGGGTTTGGGTTGCTAGCCACGTGCCCAATATCCTCTGTTTACCAGGCCAACTACTACCTATCAGGTAAGTTTAAGGAGTGAATTGGTTGGAAATCGAGCCATAGATCACGTGTGTGGCTGCCATGGGTATTCTACCCCTGAACCACTGAATCACTAGTCTAACCACATTGTGTTATATTTCTATCTTTAAGACACACAAGACTGGCGCCCGAATCTTCAAAATTTCACCATCTCATTAAATCCATCACCTCATCGAGATGTTACCTTTCAATTTATCGACTGTATGACTCCACCACGTGTATAGAAAAGGTGTTACTCCAAGACATGCAAGATTATCATGTTTTCCAACCAACAATCACCATTTATTTTGTATTTTTCGTTGACCGATTATAAGGTTGGACTGGAATGTTCGTTTGCTCTTGTTAAGTCCGCTCCTGGTAAGAACACTGACCATATTTGAGCATCAATATGTTTTAGGTATGATCACAAATTTATATCAGTTAGAGAACCATTGAAAACGATGGGATACTGGACAGCTTTCTGTCTCGTCATAATTAGGGACCTTCCAGCAGTATGCATCCACCAGGGCTCAAAATCTAGGACGTTTTCAGTTTTTCTAGGAAAGCTCGTAAGCTACTTAGTTATTGCGCCCTGATCCAATAGCCTAATTCATGATATTAGCGCGACCAACAACCAATGTCGTCAGTGACTGTTTGTCCTCATGTCCGATCACAACTTCTCACTAGAAGCAGCTCCAGGTAACTTCTTCTTGTAACTAGTCACTAGCTGCCATTCTCCAGAAAATTCTCGAACTGGTACGATACATCAGGCTGTTCAGTACTCCCTGGTGATTTTCAGTGGTTCTCTAACTCATATCAATCCGTGACCAAACTTGAAACAAATCAAATTCCTAAAGAAGCACTCTTGAACATGCTGTTATTTCATCGATGGTGTCTAATAGCGTGGAATCCAATAGGTTCACGTTTCAACTTCTTTGGGACTCATCAGCTGATGGATTCCTAACGACTACAAATTGATTTTCCTAATGAGCTACTTGGATCAAACTTTTGTCTTTTGAAACGATGGACACTAGTTTCAAGTCTGAGAAGGAGAACAATCACTGACTGTGGATTGTAGGTACATCCACTGGCTGATGACGAGTCCCAAATAGGACGAAATGCACATCCTGATAGATTCCACCGCTAGCATTTACCATCCACCAAATGACTTCAAGTTACATGACTAGACATCCTCGTCGAAGCATCTGCACAAAGGGGAGCCACCAACATGCCAACCTGAGACCGGTCCACTTAGGTCCAATCAATCGACAGAAAAATCTAAATTGAATTCAATTTTTCTTATTTCTTTTATATTTTACTCTTTCCTTCCTAATAGGTGTATGTAAAGAAGAACAATTTATGCTTGTCCTTGAATTAGCACCTTTAGGTCCTATCAATAAATATTTGAAAAGACGTCCGTAAGTTAATATAACTTTCATTATTATTATTATTATTCTTTTACTATATCATTGCTCATTATGAAGAATTATTTTAAAATTAAACATCTTCTCTTCCTCTTCTACACAGTTGTCGCCACTTTACTAGCTCATTGATAACATCTCACTTTCCATCGCCTAATGTCAGAAGTGGGAATCCTACAGGAGGCGTCATTTTTCTCAAGATTGCAAACACGCTTTACTTTTTTTTTTCCTACACGTTCCCCAGTGGAACATAGGGCTTCAAGCTAGTGGCTTGAAGTTTCTGTAGCAGTATTTATTTTACAGGATGGGGTTGCTAGCCTCATGCCCAACCTTTCCTCTTTACCAGCATTATTTCTGGCTCAGCGAGGTAAAGGAGTGAGTCGGCCGGGGGTCGAACCGCGGACCGTGTGCATGGTCGGCGAGCATTCTAACTGCTATACACGCTTTACTGATGAATGTCAATTAGCACCAAACTTAGGTTCAGGCAAGGCCAGCAGGCGATTAATCCCACCTACCCAATACTATTTTATAACTCACCACTATGTCTAGCTCCCTAGCCTGATGGCTCTGTGGGAGATTTGACCAGTAAAATCCAGTCAACAATGATATTCTAGTATTGATTAGTAGGGATTTGATTGATTGGTTACAGGATTTCATCATGATGAGCTGACGTTGGTTAGAGAAACCATTGAACAACCTTGGAGTATTGGACAGCCAGGTATTTCGTCCTAGTTTGGGACTTTTCTTCAGTACGCACCCTCCCCACCCGCTAGGATTCGAACCCAGGATCCTCTGGTTGAAAGGCGAGCATGTGCAGAAGTTGGTAGTCATGGGTTGGCCATTGGATTGGGTCGCAGTTACTTTAAAATAAATTTTACCCATAATAGGTGTGAGAATTCTTCGGTGGGTGCTTACCGCTGGAGAGTCCGAAACTGGGGCTAAGCAGCTGTCCAGTGCTCTATGCAGGTTTTCCAATGGTTCGCTAACAGTTATCCTACTAAGGGTTGAATACATGATATCATTCATGTTCTAGAAAGTGATCCGTATAGTGGCACTGACTTCACATTGGAGTTGAAAATCCGGATCTTACTTTTGATGCTGAGTGCTGCTGACCTCCACACAGACTTGATGTGAGCAGTGAAAGCTTGTCTTGCTTTTCCGATTCTTGCTTTGATATCCTCGTCAGTTCTGCTTGTAGTCCCTGATAAAGAGCATCTCAAACAAACTACAGACCTTCATTAACAGTTGTCTTCGCTCAATACTTCGCCCAGGATCAGATGGCCGGTCAGAAAAGATCAGCAATAGGGATATCTGGGAGAGAACCAACGAGGAACCGATTGTGAAAGAAATAGGCAGGAAAAAATGGAGATGGATAGGCCATCCTCTGAGGAAACCAACCATCAAGTGACATCACTAGACAAGCCATTCCTCGGTTGGAACCTGAAAGGGAAGTGGTGACTTGGTCGTCAGTGTGAGGGTGACTTGGAGGAGGTCATGTGAAGTGAAGAGGAGATGAAAACGTGTGGTCAGACTTGGAGCCAGGTGAAAACTCTAGCAGAGAACCGAACGTAATGGAGACGCACGGCTGAAGCCCTATGTTCTTCTAGGAATTAAAGGAGATAATAAAAATAATAATCTAGTGAGCGATCACTGTGAAGAGGGGATCTATTTAGTTTATCACTCTGACAGTTGAAACAGTGAGTAGAAGGCGAGCACAATATAATTATAATAATAACAGTAATTCCAAGACAATAAAATCTGCCATTTGAAGTGACCAACTGAAGATCTCTCATGCTAATTAGTAATACTCTACAACCTATGCGTAGGCGTTGAGCGTTTCGTTTGTTTGATGCCCGGCTCATCAGAAGTGTACTCACTTCGATTCAGATGAAAAGGAAAAAAATGAGCCGAACATACTGAATCATTGTCTCTAGGAACTGAAATAGAAAAGCGATTGACTTCTTATGACCACAGACTCCAAGGGATAGCTGTTTGAGTTCATTTATACAAAGGCGTCTCTGGAATGGCTCTTGTGGTTGGGTTCACCGGCTACCAAATATTACGGTTTCAGTCAAGGTGTAAAGTCTTCGGGGTTAACCTTTTCTCAACCTTCATACAAAAATATGAAAGACAGCATAACTGACTTGTTGGTCATTTATGCGAAATCGGTTAGTGCAGTTCTTCAGGAGTACAATTTTACCTTCAGACTAACTAATATAGTGTATACAAGTTACAGTATGGTAGACTATTATTGTTTTTAGTCTAACCACTATCGAAGTCACTGTTCTGACACAGTAGGACCTCCAGAGATATTTGTCCCAGCCAGTGTAATTGGTCAAGTGAGTATAATACACTAGCCGAAGCGCAACGTGAAGGTTACGATATATTTACCTCAAGTCTTTATTATATATTTTGCTATTGTATTTTAAGCAATAAAAGCAGACAATTATCAGCATAATTGTGAGAAATCTGAAAAAAGCAACCTCCTTAAACTAGCTACCTACCTGAGAAACATCGTTTCATCTATGGGCGGAACTGGTGCGGATATCAAAGCGAGGATCCAGAAAGCAAGGCAAGCTTTCAATACTCTCAAGTGTGTGTGGGGATCAGCAGCACTCAGCATGGAAAATAAGATCCGGATTTATAACTCTTCATCGGTATGCACCCACCCCATTGGGGTTCGAACCCAGGATCTTCTGGTTACAAGGTGAGCTCGCAGACCATTCAGCCACGGGGACCCGATCCAGTATTCTGTGAATTCCAGCTTTTGTCACTTCACGTTATAGTGTGAGGACCAACCAATGTCATCGCTGGCGAGTATTTGTCCCCACACCCAACCTGCTGTATCCCTATTGGTTACAGACTCCTAATAGAACCCAGATAACTAACTACCTACCTGAATAAGGCCAGTCATTAGTGAGCATAAGATTCATATTCATATTTATATCGCTAATTGGAGGAAGTCAGGTTCCATGAGACATTGGATTTCACCCCAGAGGTTGAATAGTTGGAGGTTCACCTCTTACCCTAACAGTTCCGCGTTCAGTCAGCGGTGAATGGAGTTGCGTGCGTCCGGCTGAAGAGTTCGAACGTAGGACAAACACAACCGTCCACTCCTCCCTGCTTTTCACTATGTGACTCTCCAAGTAATCTCAGTTTGTGATTAATTGTCCATCCTTCCAATACACTCATTTCATTTTCTCTCGTTGTTTTTTTCCCTGATTCCTTTCAGTGATGTTAGTGTACATACATTAACTGAATTAATGCATCAAGTTGCCTTGGGTATGGCATACTTAGAATCATGTAAATTTGTACATCGTGATTTAGCTGCACGTAATGTTCTATTGGTTACTCGGCATTTTGCAAAAATTAGTGATTTTGGAATGAGTAAAGCATTGAATTTTGGTAGTGATTATTACAGGGTAAGTGGGTCTGTTTTTCAATTCCTTCTTTTGATATTGTTGGTTATATTTTCCTTCAATGTTTGGTATTTTTTAATACCGATGTCATGTTAGACGGGTCAGACTCCAGGTTGTCACTATCGCAAGACCACCTAGTTATTTGTAAACTCCTGGAAATAATGGAACGCTGGGTGTGTGGCGAGTTTGACGACGGTGAGATATCAGTTTGAGAACCATTGAGAACCAAGGAGTACTGGACAGCGGTTTCATTCTAGTTTCGGAATCATTGGCAGAACGCATCCACCACCAGGGTTCGAACCTCGGACCTTCCAATTTCTAGGCAAGCTAGCTCGTATACCATTCAGCCACTGGGACCTGAATCAGTGGCCAGCTAGGCCATGAATTTCAACTTCCACCAGTTCACACAGGATATAGTGCGACTGGCACTAGCCAGTGTCATCGGTGGAAAGTATTTGTCCTCATACCCAACCTTCTGTACCTCGCTGGTCACGACTTCCCACTAGAAGCCAGATAAATACCTACCTAAATTGGTCCAGTAGCTAGTGAATATCTCATTGATATTCAAGTATGGGTTTGTAGGGATTTGATTGATTGGTTACAGGATTTCATCATCAACTGATCTCCTAAAGTAACTGCTACAGCAGATACATGCAAATTTAAAAACACAGAGTTAACAATAAAACTGTATCTGTCGAGTTTTGATGGCACCACAGAAGAGCATGATGTTCGATAGGCGGGAACCAATTTATCTGCAGGATAGGTTCTGGCTAGTAGCACATTCAGTCTTCTGTTGACTATTCCTACAATATCTTCACCTTTAAAATCGAGTCAAATGAAGACAGGCTTCTTACCTACTGTATGTTTTTTGACATTTGAGCCTTCAGATCTCCCGTACTTGTTAATGAAGCTTCGAGGGTAACCACTGCTTTTTGACATCTTTCCGATGCTCACTAGTGACTGAACCTATTTAGGTAGGCAGTTATCTGCGTTTTAGTAGGAATTTGTGACCAGTGGGCTACAGTATGTTGAAGGTGAGGGCGAATACTCGCCAGCGATGACATTCGCTAGTGGTCGCTCTATATCCTGTATAAATTGGCAGAAGTTGGAATTCACGCACCGGCTCTTGAATCGGGTCTCAGTGGCTGGATGGTCTATGAGCTAGCTCGCCTTGCAACCAGAATGTCTTCGGTTCAAACCCCAGAGGGTGCGTACCGATGAAGAGTCTATCTCAAACTAGGGTGACACAGCTGACTGTCCAGTACTCCCTGTCGGTTTCCAACGGTCCTCTAACTGATGTCATGACGAAATCCTGTAACCAATCAAGTCCCAGTAAACCAAAACTTCAAAATCAGAAATAATTCAGAATCATTAGAAGAGAGAAGACTGGTGAGGAAGAGGATTAACCAGTGTCAAGATGAACAAAAAGAGAATATGAATGGGCGACAGGATAAGTTGAGTTCATTTTTACAGCCCAATGAATAAAGAAGTGAAGAAGAAGAAGAGTTCTAGGGTAGACAAAACAGGAACTCCATGACACACTGGTAACCGAAATAAAACAGGCTACAGATAAGAGAGATCTTAGAACGATACATTAAATAACTAGGATTTTATCCAATATGCAATCAGAAGGGATGAAATCAATAAGAGGGAGCTAATTTTTTCTTTTTTTACTTCACTTTCCCAAGTGGAACATGGGGCTTCAAGCCAGTAGCAGTGTTTATTTTACAGGATGGGGTTGCTAGCCTCATGCCCAACCTTTCCTCTTCACCAATATTATTTCTCGCTTAGCGAGGTAAAGGAGTGTGTCGGTGGCCGGTGATAGAACCCCGGACCATGTGCATGGTCGGTGAGCGTCCTAACCGCTATGCCACTGACGCACTTGGTGGCTGGCTAGATTTGATTGACTGGTGAAGACGTGTTTTGGTATGACCACTAATAACTAGCTCTTTTCCAACCTGATCGATCGGATGTCAGCTAACATTGCCCGTTGAAGAAAGCAATGGATAGTCAGGCATGCATAACACATGTCCTAACCATCTCAGTCAATGCAGCTGCTTCACAAACTCGTCTATTGATTTCCTTTTCTCCTTGCCTAGCACTCAACTGACGCCTATCCTCAATATTTCCTATCCTATTATACCATCTAACACAGGAAATAGAACACAGACACCTAAGATCAAAGACAGCTAGCCAGGCCTTTCATGTCTTCCCCTTTCAGTAGCTATGTCTCGCTTGCAGCTGTAAAGGATGACAAAACGAACTGCTGAGCAGTACACACGTCCTTTAGTCAACAGCCAGACGGGTATCACATGAATTACTCCAGAGATGGCTTAAGTTGGCATATGACAGACGAGTCTTCTATATCTGTATTCACATTTAGTCAGCAATCAACCTGTTGATGCTGTCTGATGCAACTTCATAAATAAGTGAAGTAGTGGTCAACACACTAGCTTAATTCTATATATCGTGAACCAAAATGCTTTTATAATTCTCGTTTGTCTATTCCAATTATTGTGAGAATAGTAGAATTTTCCAGATGTCTGTGACAGCCTTTGAATCCTTTCTATTGCAAGTATTCTCTCAGTATTTAATAGATTCCATATAAGTAGCTGAATAATCGAAGGGCTGTGCTCGTAAACATAAGGTTCCCTGCGGAGTCATGAGCTCTGTGTACTGTTGAAGATTTCCAAACTAGGCTAATATAAGTTGTCTAGTATGTCTTGAGGTTTTTAATTTATTATTACTATTTATATATCTCCTTGAGTTCCTAGAGGAACATAAGGTTTCAGCCGCACGTCTCCACTGCATTCGGTTCGCCACAAACGTTTTCACCCATCTTTACGTCTGCCCATACGGTTTCATCTCCTCTTCATATCACCTCCTCCTCCATGTCACCCTCACACTGACGACCAATTAACTTGACGTCTCCCACTTGGGTTCCACTCGACTGATGGATTGGCATGTGATGTCACTTGTTGATGGCTTGTTTTCTCAGAGTATGGCCAACCAATCCACCTGCATTTCTCCCTGCATATCTGTTGCATAACTGGTTCCTGTTGGGTTGGTTGTTTCGTTCACTGAAAGAGATCCCTCCTTTTTACTGATCTGTTTTGGTCACCTGATCTTGGGTAGTATTGAGTGGAGAAGGCTGTCGATGGAGGTCTTCAGTTTTTTCGAAGTACCCTTCGTGACGCGGAGCCAAGTCTGTGATCCGTATAGGAAGTAGCACTGACTTCACACTGGAGTTGAAAATCCAATTCTTACTTTCATGCTGAGGAGTGTGGTGGATCTCCACACAGACTTAAGAGTAATAGTAGTTCTCTAAATGATCTCAACCTGTTAGTTAATTTGAAATATTCTTTCACTTTCAGTCCTACGTTAGGCTCTTTGCATGCATAACATTAATGATTCCGCTATTTATGAGTAGAATAACGCATAATAAATTGCCCTTGTCAGTCGCCTGAATATGTGTGTCTACAAGTTCACTACATTTTCGTTTAGTCTTCTTCTTCTTACCTTCTCTCACCTTTCTCCGAAAACATATTTTTATTCTCTTCAAAACTGACTTGTAAGCAAATCAATATGATATAGAAAACAGAAAATGTGTTACTTTAACGCCAAAAACCTACGTTTAAATATGATTAATTATCCTTGCTTTTCGCATAAATCATTATCTAAATTAACACTATTAACTAGCCAACCTTTAATCAGAACATCTCTCACAACTGTCTAAAAGATTTATATATTACACAACCTAGGAATTTGTCAGTTTTTTTGCACCTTTGTGTGGACCTCTTGTACATTGATTGTCTACTGATGTGAAGCATAAGGATATTAGAAACAACATCAAGAATTTGATATGACCGACAGTATTTTTTTATTCCTTTACGTTCCCAGTGAAACACAGCGCTAATTCAAGCTAGAGGCTTGAAGTTTATGTATCAGTGGTGAATATTTTTACAGGATGGGGTTGCTAGCCTCATCTGCCCCAACCTTCCCTCTTTACCAGTCTAATAACTAGCTCAGCGAGGTACGAGATAAAGGAGTGCGTCGGCCAGGAGACGAACCCCAGACCACTTCGTGGTTGGCAAGCACTCTTCCGCTGTGCTCCTGACGCGACCGACAGTTTAAGTAATAGTAATAATAACAATACTGTAACTTTGGTTCGTTGCAATCAAGGCGGCAAGTAACTCGTCTGAATACTAAAAACAGTTAATCTCGACCTCTAGAACCTACTTATCAAATTAAATTAGAAGGCAGACTAGTGTCAAAAATGTGTGACATATAACCATTACAAATATATTTGGGAAGTTGAGCTTAGTAAACATTTGTGGTGTTTGCTACTGAAAAGATTTATCAGTAGTATACAGGAGAGAGATTTTCATCGGCACACAAAAATTTCAATTAAGGGAGAGATAAATTTGATGTCAAAGAGAGAAAATAAGCCAGTATTGCCATGAAACATGGATACCAAGAAAAGCAGGCAAAGAAACACAATACGGAGGAGGGAAAGAAGTAGCACAACACGAAAGATGCATACAAGTGATGGTTTTGTTATACGGTGTACATAATTTCTCTATTTGTATATTAAACATTCCATTACCAACCAATTTTGTGTTCTGCCGTTACAACTGATGTCTCTGCCACTGAGCAAATGAAGACCTCACTGCAGGCCGATTTTGAAGAAGGAGATTTAAGGAGCTTCTTGCAGGACTTTGAGGCCCCGCTGAAAAGTTGGTGAACATACAGAATCAGACGAAGACGCTGGTAGGACATCGAGCAAGGGTGTCCTCCGACAGCGTGAAGCGGACAGGTGAACAGGCCGACTAAAATTTGATGGTAGAATGGTTAAAGGCGGAGGTTAATAGCCAGAAGGACAGGCAATTCAGCAGTTCAATGCCACAAAGATAGAACCTGATGGAAACTAACGAATCTACTTCATCGAGCATTCCACACATTCAATGTAGAGTCAAAGTGGTAGTTATTGATTTCCAAATTTATTTGCTCTTTTACACGTCAAATCTATCTCTGATATATTTGATATTTGGCACCGATGAACATCTCTTTATATCCTACTGATAAACCTTGTCGGTAGCGCATGCCACACAACTAACTCGATTAGTTACACAACGCCAGGCTTCAAGACTGTCCTATTAAATTGGGCTTAACTTAAGTACCTAAGCAACTAACGGTTTGTGTCGATCTTAGCCTTTTCCTGTTAAGCATGTAAAATATAGTTGTTTTATGAGAAGGCAAAATTAAGGGTGTGAAACATGGGCTCACAGTTTGACAAGTCCAACGTTTAATTTATGAACAAACCATGCGCGTCATTTCAAGCAGATAAGGCAAAGGACCGAATAAAAGTAATGCGTAGTACTATTCAAAGCTTATTTTTCTGACATTAACAGGGACTTTTAAAGTTACAGGATTTCCCCACGAGCTGGCATCGGTTAGAGAACCGTTGGAAAAACCTCGGATTATTGGGCGGCCGGCTATTTCCTCCTAGTTTCGGAATCTTCAGAAGTACACAACCACAGACAGGGTTTGAACCAAGGACCTTCCGATCACGAAGTGAGCTCATAGATCATTAAGACACTGTAAACCGATCCTGTGGCTTCTGCCATTTCATGATATGGCGCGATCACTGACCAATGTCGTCCACGGTGAGTATCTGTCCTCACACTTAACCTTCTGTACCCTACTGGTTACGATTTCAAACTAGAATCCAGGCAACTGATGTTCACCAGTGACTGACCGTATTCAGGTAGGTATTTACCTGGGATTCTTAACCTCTATAGCCTACACAAGTGAAGTTAGAAGGCAAACAAATACGAGCCAGTGAGAACAATTCGATTTTACTACACAAAATATGAAAATAAAAGTCACAAATATTTAGAAAGGTAGGATAACAAGCAACCAAATTAACTGGTTTCATAAGATGGGGCTTCATGGCTATTTGATGACATTATTATTACCGTTCCCTTAGGTTCCAAGTGGAACATAGGACTTCAACAACTCATCTTCATTTTGTCTCATTCTCGACTACCTTCTTTAGCTGGCCCTACAATTGCCCATAGTCTCTGATCTCCACCTGGTATGACCTCCACCACGTCATCATCGCACGCCTCATTCGTCATTTTTCATTCACTATGCACTCAAAACTATGGAGCATGACGACATTCAACGGTCTCTGCAGCCTGTGTCTGATCCATTTCCAATTTCTTCAGAACATTTGTCAGTCAATGGGTTCTTGGTTAGGTCTTTGCCTATCAGACTTCCATGCTGCTTATCATTTTTGGTCGGCCATCTGACCTTCAGAATGGAGTGAAGGCAGTTGTTGATGGAAGTCTGGAGAATTTTGAAAATGTTTGTTTTGTTGACAGACACATCAAGTCTGTTAAACCGTATGGTGAATTACCAATACGACAGTAGTGTTGGAAATCCTCAACTTGTTCTTTATGCTCAGATTGATGAAAGTTTCTGCCTTGCCTTTCCCATCCTGATACTTTGAAATCTTCATCCGCCCTGACTCCAGTTGAAACGATGCCACAAAACCAGATAAGTGAAGAAAGTGACTTCCTCTTGCGAAATTATTTCGCTGATATTGATTGTTACTGGTTGCTGTTGGTGGTCAGTAGATATCTTCAGCACCTCCATCTTCTCTGTATTCACTCACAGTCTTGTCTTCGCTGCCTGCCTCGCCTCTTCATCCAGTTTGTTGGTTTTCGCCTGCCTGCAAGTCTTCGAGTTTGTGTGTTGTTAAACGTAAATCATCCACTCACGAAATCCAGATCTCCTAGAGTCTTCCTATCAGTCCAACGTATTTTTGTCCTCTCGTTCCTCACAGTCTGAGTCATAATCTAGTCAGCCAAAATTAGGAATATCATCGTTGGTGGTAATCGGCAGCAGGCTTGTTGTACTCCTGCATTCACTTCCAAGGCTTCTCTGAGCTTACCGCTGTGAATCCCTTAATAAGTGGTTTTATCATATAACTGTTGATTGGGGTTGTTAAATGTTGAAGACACTGAAATTTGTGGTGCTGAAGCAGTTTCCAAACTGCTTTTTAGTCAACGCCCTGCAAGATCTTTTCAGAATAACTAAGACTATGCAAATATAATTGAATTTCATTTTTAAAAAATATTGAATCACAGTAAGTCAAGTTTGAGCCTATCTCCAGCCTGTTTTATATTTGACAGACGAATGTTTTTGAAGTTTCTTTTTCTTTCTTTGCTGTCTTATTCGTATATCCATGCGCTGTTTCCTATTTTGATGATTATCTCTACAGGCAGCAACTGCTGGTAAATGGCCATTGAAATGGTATGCTCCCGAGTGTATTTATTACTTTCGATTCGATTCAAAATCTGATGTATGGAGTTATGGAATTACACTATGGGAAGTTTACTCTTATGGTGAACGACCGTATAGGGTAAGTGTATCTGTATGAATGTTTGTATGTATGTATATATGTAATTCAGTGATCACTATTCTAGCTGGCTTCCCATCATGGTGCACTGTGAATTGTCGATATTAGAGGGTTAGTGCCAGTCGACAGGAAGCCTTGCCCAACTTACACTTCATGTCTGTTATTGCTAGTCTTCAGCAATGCGGGTCTGCAAACACCTGGAAGGAAATCATGACCCCCCCACGTGGAGACTCGAACACGCGTCACCCAGTGCTGCCTGCAGTCAGAGGCGTTACCACCACTGAGCTATTCAGGCTCGCGGTTGATCACCTCCTGTATAACAGTTTTAGATACCTAAGTCAGGCAAGGCTTCCTGAGGCCGATTGCCTCCAGGCATCTGATATCAGCAATTCACAGTGCACCGTGATGCAGACCCATCCAGTGGCATGGTAGCCATATTCCGATCTAGACTCACGATGGAATTTAGTTTTTAGACCATTGAGCCACTGGGACCCTACCGTCCAATGGCAAGTCCATGAATTCTATCTTCGGCCAATTCACACACGACATAGCACGACCACTTCGCAATGTTTTCTTCGATGAGTTACTGCCTCATCTTCAACCTGCTGTACCCTACTGGTCACGGCTTCCCACTAGAATCCCAGGTCACTGCCTGAATGGGGTGAGTTGCAGGTGAGCATCAGATTAATCTTCAAGTATTGGTTTTGTAGGGACCCTATTCAGGGAGTTACCTGGGGTTCCAGTGAGAAGCCGTGACCAGTGGGGTACAGCAGGTTGAAGATGGTGCAGTAACTCATCAAAGAAGAAACTGCGAAATAGTCGCGCTACGTCATGAATTGGCAGCAGTTAGAATTTATGGTTCATTGGATAGAGTCCCAGTGGCCCCTTGGTCTACGAGCTAGCTTGCCTTGTAACCGGGAGGCCCTGGGTTCTAACTCTGGCGTGGTGGTGAGTGCGTACTACCGATGATTCCTAAACTAGGATGAAACAGCTGTCCAGTACTCCGTACCAACTCTTGAAAATTCTTCTAATTAACTACTGATGTAACAGGAAAGGTTAAGAGACTTAGTAAAGGAAATCACTCCATATTTACACATTTTTAGCCACATTTTGGTTGGATAGGTCAGCAGATAATAAACTGTTCTGATTGGTTGTCGATTTTCTGAAGGTTAAACCTTGAAATTATTTCCTGACCACAACGTAAGCGATAAATCGATATTTGACAAATAAATGCTTCTACTTCTGTAGCCACGATGACTTAAAATGTTGTTTTCACTTTTGCATCCTTTGCACTACTGATAATTCCTGTCAGTAGTATGTACCACACTGACCTTTTTTTAAAATAAATAATATTTATTCCTTTATTATTTTTTTTGTCATTTAGGATATGAAAGGTGCACAGATATTAGCAATGCTTGATCAAGGTCTCCGTTTATCCCGTCCTAGTCGATGCCCTGAATCCATATATAGTGTTATGCAACAATGTTGGAATTTCGAGGGAGTTCACCGGCCAACATTTGCTGAACTTGTCCTGACAATATCACGTATACTTAAAGCTATGCCATCACCACAAACGAATGTGTGCATTCCTAACAGCAATAATAATAATATTCATACTACGAATATCAGCTGTGGTACTAATCGTAATGGTAATCCCACTACTATTGCTACTTCTGCTGCTGCTTCTATCAATACTACTAACAATAATAATAGTAGTAATAGTATGATGTCATGTAATACAACCTTAAAATTCGATCATTTTCATCATTCACCGACGCATCAACACACTTTGAGTGGGAGTAATGATAATAATAAAAATAATATTAGTAATAATAATACAGGCTTACAGCCAATAGAATTTAGTCCATCAAGACGTATCATCGGTGGAATAGGAACGACGAGTACAAGTTCTGGAGGAAGTGGTGTCAACAGTGGTGGAAGTGATGGAATTTCATTTTGAAAATTTAATTGAAAAAAAATTAATTATTATTTTTTATTTTACTATGGATCTATTTGATTTATTACGTGATATAATTATCGAGGATAAAGTTCAACCGACCAACTGACCCACCGACCGACCGACCGACTGACTGACTAACTGACCGACCAAATCGCAGTGTTCAGTATTCAAGAGTAAACAGCTAAGATACATGTTTATTTTGTGAACCTCAGTGTCTCCCTCTGGCGCGCGCGTTCTTTCTGTACGTGCACTTCTTCTTGTATCGACCTCCTGGTTTCCCCTAAAACATCTCGTTTTTGTTCCCCTCCCCTTCCGGGCTTCTTTACTCACTTCATCTAATCTGGATGCATTTCAGTTGAATTCAATACTTCTACTATAACTACGAAACTTTATTCACAGTCTTACTGAAAAGAGAACCATAGTCTTCTGTAGGAACATTATTCCCTATTCTATCTATTTCTAAGTGTCTCTATTATTTGTGATGGTTCAACACTGTCTGTCTCCACTTTGTTTTCACCGCTTCGTCTTGTTCTGTCAATACGAAATGAAGAATTCTTGGCGTTTCATTGAATCCCTTGATTCCAACTTTTCAGCACTGCCTCTGTCTCCCACCCCCCTCACTCCAACGATTCACACTGGTGCCTCATTTTAATTTGTTCTTGTGTTTATATGTCAAAACAGAAAGCCAAAACTCTCGGTTCGTCAACACAGATTGAAACTAAAATGGAAAGCGGAAAATGCATTTATGAGTTCAAGTCATACACAGATAGCTATAATGTGATTTTATCAATAGTATTTTCCCTTCTTTTCATCCGTTTCCAACTTCTACCCTCCCCTGATTCTTTCTTCCCCTCTTCGTCTTCATCTGGGATTTGTACCTGGGCCTCTTCTTGGCTTTGTTTTCTTCATTCAGTTTGATTTCATCTATTTTTGGTGACAAAAACATGTGTGTTCTGAAATGTTGTCACTTGTTCAGTGATCTTTCTGTTGAACACAATGTTCAATACATTGTCTTCTTTTGCATCCTTTTTCTTCTTCTCTGCCTCCTCTTCATTGGTCTTCATCTTCACCTTCTTAGTCGCTCTCTAACCTCATCCTCGTATCCCGCCATCTTCCTCTTACTTTGACTTCCCCCTACTATTACTCGTTCTCTTCTTCATACTCATGTTGATCCATATTCTCTTCATCCTACTACTCACTACTCTTACTCCTTCTCTCTTCTTCACACTCTTACTCTCTACTCTGCCCATCCATCCCTTAGTCGTCCATCTGTTCATCCCTTGTTTATCCCTTCTCTTATTTTGATATTCCCGCTTCATTTTAAATAAATTAATGCGGAGAAAGAGGAGAAGTAAAACAAACAGAGTAAAACAGAATAAACAAATAAACTAAACTAAATCAAATATAATTAAATAAACAAATGACATAGAGTAAAGAAGAAAAACCAATAAAAAATTGTTTTTGTACAAATTATATACACTGATTATTATGATTACAATTATGAATATTATATGAATAATTATCTTTCTTTGACTTTAATTTTTATTTCAATATCCAAGGAATAGAACCAAAATGAAAGGTTTATGAGGGAAGTTATTGCAGGCTTGACTACGGATTGATATCATTTAGAGTAGCATTGAACACCCCCCCCCCAACAGGGTGGACTGGATAGCTGACTGTTTCGTTCTAGTTTGAAATGCATTGATAGCATGCACCCACAGCTAGGTAAGCTTGTAGACGATTATTCAGCCACTGGCACCCGACTCATAAAAAAAATGAATAAAGAAAATTGCCTAGTGGCGAAAAACGTCATGAGATCAAAGCCAAAGATAACGCAACCAAA